TACGTATTTTATATATTCGATCCCTTTCTCTCATAAAATATTAAAAAAAAAAAAATAGTTTTTACTATCACAATTTATTATTTATATAACGTTTTAAATCAAATTTTTAAAGTGGACCAATATATGTACACTTTTTTTTTTTTTTAATTTACTATTGGTGAACTGAATTTTTTTCTTTTTTTTAAAGTATTTAATGATCCTATATTTTGTATTTTATTTTATACTTTGAAGAATGTATTAGGTTTGATAATGTGATGTGGATAGGTGTTTTATATATTGTTGTTTTTTTAAGATTATAACTACTTAAATTTTTATCTTTTGATTTTTAACTGATTTAGGTAATTACTATTTTTATTGTTTTATTTATTTATTCTTTTAGACTCTAACTTTTTAACAGTTAATTGATTTTACATTTTAACCCATTTTAGGAAATTATTTTATAGATTTTAACTTTTTTAGATTTTAACCTTTTTATATTTTGACTTTTTAACTTTTTTAGATTTTAACTTTTTAACTTTCTTAGATTTTAACTTTTTTAGATTTTAACTTTCACTTATTTTTAACTTGTACCTAAATTTTAACTTTAAACTTTTTACTGATTCTATATTGTAACTTAAAACCCAAAAAATAATTTAGAAATTTTCATTTTTGGGGGGGGGGGGGGCGCTTTTTAGGGGGGGTCTATATTTAAATTTTTTTTAGAGTTCTGATAGCCCCCCAAGGAATTTTTATAATTATCCCTTTGAAGTTTAGCACTAAAATTAATATTAAAAGTGTCATAAGACTCGTAAGTTGCACAAAACGGGATTTCCGTTTTTTGCAACTTTGAATGGTATTTTCGGTGGTTTAAACAATAGAACTATTTCTAAAAAGTATAGGGAACTCTAGAACTCTTGGAGGGGCTATAAGAACTCTCAAAATTTAAAAAAAAAAATTGAGGATGGGGGGCCAGCTTCACAGAGGTCATTTTGCGGGACTTCGCTATTTGGACTCAGGAGACCTCAAAACATGTATTTCCGTCGAAAAACCATACTCGAAAATTTTCACGATCGCAATACTTACCCTTACTATATATTGCATTTATAGACAAGTGAAAGTAAAAAAATGAATGAATGCCCAATTATCACTGAAAGTAAAGCTATTATTGATTGCTTATTATTTTTAATTTTTATTTTTACTATTTTAACAAAACTACAGAGTATTGGAACAAAACTTTTGATTTAATAATTACTATCATAACACAGATATTATTTGTTAGATAAGAGAGGTTAAGGAAGTAAATAAATAGTTTTAATGGTTGTAATTTTTAATTAGTTAATTAATGAAATGAAATGAAAATATAATTTTATTCTGGAACTACAGTTCTCTAAGAATAATAACAGAGTTACAAATTTATGGGTCTTAGTCTGGCTTAGAATAATAAAAAATACAGACTAATTAACTGCTGGTTGTTGTTGAAATTGTGCAGTAGATTGAAATTGAACAGTATACAGAAGCAAGTAATTTTACATGTTAGCGGAAGTTTGAATGTGATGTAGGTGGTGGAACAGGAGTTGTTTGAAGGAATTTGTGGACGAGGATTGACGTACGGAGGTAGGAACAGAGTTCCAAAAGGAGGTAGCACAAATGACGAAGGATTGGCTGAAGGAAGTAGTTTTATTGGAGAAGATATATAAATCTATAGGTTGAGACCTGGTATTGAGAGAATGGATAATGGAACGTATTACTACTCCGTTTTAATATAAAAAATAAATAAAAGACACTGTTTTCACAAACACACATATATATGTATATATTGAAATTAAAGATTTTTACTAATTTAAGATTTAAATACTAATTAAATTTAAATACTAATTTAAGATTAAAGATTTTTACTAATTTAACAAAACTTTTATTTAAAAAAAATAAACAAAACCAAAAATGTTTAACCAAGTAGCTAAGCGATTAAAAACGGCACAAGCACATTTTTAAGTTTCCTTAAGGGTCCGAAATCTGGGGTTTTTGTCCTACGAGATTCCTTTTATTTATAGGGTGTTGTAAGGTACTGTGGTAGGTAGAAAGTAGATACATCGATCTTTGTACCTCATAGAAATTTTTATTTACGTATGCAGTTATATTTTCATAAACCAAGCATAGATTTGTTTTACAATTATTTTAATTGTGTTATTATTTATATTAATATGTTATAGAGTGTTTAGACATTTAAAAAATTATGGGAAACTTAAATATTTGTGTTTCCCATAGTTTGTGAAATGTTTTAATGCACTTTAACTTGACTAATAGCAAAATTAGTGCTAAACCTAACTTTTTTTTTATTTCTCTTGTTACCAACAGCAGATGGGAAACATAAAGGAAGAAACAAAAATACTAGCTTAGGGAAATAACCACTTAAATATTTGTGTTTCCTATAGTTTGTGAAATGTCTATGTATATGCAACTTAATTCTTTATACATGAACAAATTCCAATTACTTTGGTTTGAGTATGAAATAAACTTACATAAAACTTTAGTTGTTGAATAATTAATTAAAACAGTTGTAAGTTAGCAAAATAATAATTAAAAATGTTAACGTCATTTTTTTTTACTTTCACTTATCTATATACGAAATATATGTAAAGGTAAGTATTGCGATCGTGAAAATTTTCGAATTCGAGTTTTCAACGGAAATATATCTTTTGAGGCCTCCTGATTCCAAATAACCAAGTTCCGCAAAATAGTCTGTGTGTTTATGTATGTGAACAGTCTAGCTCAAAAACGAAAAGTCGTACGAAACTGATATTACATATTGAAGATAGGTATATGCCTTAGATGTTATACAGCAACTATTTTCTTAAAATCGGCTAACCGGAAGTGCCACTTAACATCAACGGTGAAACACATTTTTACAATTTTCTCAAAAACGGCCTTATTTATTTTAATTAAACTCGGTGTAGCATTGTATAATTAAGTGGTCTTTAATATCATTTAGATCTTATCCCCATTGGTGTCACTTTAAAGGGCTTAAATGCCCAATGTTCATATACGTCTTCCTCTAAAGTACTTTTAATATGGTTTATTTAAAAAAATTAACTCTCTTTTATTGACAGTAACTATAAAAAATGGGTATATATGAAGTTTGAAAGAATATAATAATTGGAAACTTGAGAAATAAAGAAAAATGCTTATCCAGGTTGGAAATAAATCTCCGGAAATAACAGACAGACGGTATGCGTATAATATATCGGTGGAAAGCGGAGAATTTTAGATAAAATAATATCAAATAAATAAAATTGTTGAAGATAACGGAGAGTGACGAAAAAAATATAAATACTAATTTCAGAAAACTAACATTATTTAATGCAAATCACATGTTTCAAATGAAATTTTCGTACTAAATGTAAACTTTTCAATTTTTTCTAAGTTTGAAAAAAAAGTATTTAAAATCCACCCAATCATGCCAATGCCATTGTTTAAAAAACTGTTTAATTGTACTTGTATGAAAGAAGAAGTGAAATATAAAAATATCTCATGGATATGTTTATAACCAACCTTAAATACTTTTGCTGTAGTTTAATAACTCTCGATATGATATTATACTTAAATAATTAGGTATCTATCGACTGTTTATTCCGAAAAATCATCATGTAACCTTTTAGAAAATTAAATTAGTGAATAATTTGATGAATTTTCTTTTTGTGAAATCACAACATTATCCAGTTAAATTAGTGTGACTTATGACCTAACCATGGCAGCCAATGAAAATCTCGTTATTTCATTTTAGTAAACTTTACAATGGAATATAACAGTTTAATAACTAATAGTCTTACAATACAGAATCATTTATAGGTTAAATATTCAGATGTACTTTTAAATCTCTCTAGGCATATATGAGCCTTTCGGTTAACAGAATTACTAACTCCAATTTCAACATTATTTATTATTAATTTTAGTGATGTTTCTAGTGGCAAAATTTATACCTTTATTCACAGTTCTATATTTCAGCTTTATAATCACCTACTCTGGAATCAACTTGCTCACTGTCTGTATATATATAACTTTTCCAACTAGAAATATCGCTAAAATGACATTACTCAAAAATTTTGAAATTGGAGTTAGTCATTCTGTCAACTGAAAGGCTCAGAGACTGAAGTTATGGGTTTATACAACTAGATTTTTATTGACCACCGTCGATATAATAAATAGATTTTTGTAATTTTAATGGTCTTAATGATTTGTTATCTGTAAGCTTTAAACTTTAGCTCCGTTTAAAATGCACTTCAAAAATTGTATAATTGCCAACATTACCAGAAAATAATTTCTATTCAAAGTAAAGGGGTAAGTGAAAGTTGTGTGTTGCGCTCCCAAGATTTTTACTAATTGCTTTAATATTTAATTGTATTCATTTCCCCACTGAAGTCCTATACTGCTCTGTTATTAGTAACCTGGTCTATACTTTCAATGAAGTCATAATAATGTATTTCTTTTTCCTTTAGTTTTTTAGTGTATATGATATGATCTATGACCTAATGCAATAATATACACTAACAAATCTTCATAACATCCATATATTTTATAAATAATAGGTTTACAATACAATATCAACAACTTGTTATATTCCAACTGGGAGGTTACTGCTTGGTTCGCCAGTGCCTTTTGGTAATAAAACTCCTTTAAATTTTTTTTTTTTTTTGGCTTTTGTAATGTTTGTAGAATGTTATCCAATAGTTTTTAATAATATATGTACTTTTATACATGTGTTGTTAAAGTTATTTCATACCTCTGTTTAACTTCTAATAATTTAAATAAATAATTTAAATGATTTTAACTCTGTTTACTTCTTAACCTATTAACTTGAAAAAAGTAATAAAAAAAACTTTTAAATTATATGAATTGAGCTTATAAAGAAAGATTTTGTTAAAAAACAAAACAACAAAAATATTGAGTATACAATCGTACAAATATTGAGGAAGCCATTCGATGTTTAAGATACTAGGATCAGTCAGGAGCAGCAATACTGGTGCTGAGTGGGTTGCAAACGGTGGCTATCCAACTTGTCAAAGATTACTATAAGTTTTCTTCAGCTGGTAATTAATAAAGAGAAATATTTCTCCTCAAAATCTATATACTATGTCTTCTATATTAAATGTAGCCGAAGAGGAAACTTCAAGTAACGATAGTAACACGGAAAGTTCAAGTAATGACAACGTCTCATACATACCTCATAAACTGGTGCATTCCGACCAATGTTACAGGTATTTGATTTTGTGATATTAATTTATTTTTAATGTTATATTATGAAAGATTAGTAGAGGTTAAAAATCTTCTAATTGTTATTAATACGATTTTTTTCTTCTCATAATCAAGCTTTAAAGCGAATTTGCGTTGCTTATGGTCTAATAATTTATTATTATATGTATACTAAAAGTATGTACTGGTTTTTATAAAGAGGTTTGCATTAATATTCGGTCCGCGAGTAAACCTGTTCTTTAACTTAATTTTACTCTTATGTCACTTTTAGTTTAAAAGTTACTATACACAGTTTATATGTGATTATTTCATTTTCAGTATTTTCTGGTACTATTTTACAAGTGTTGTTCCACTTTTATGGGTCCCACAAGATCTCATGATCACAATATGAATGGTGTCCAGAATGTGCCCTTAAGTAGACAGGGTTACTGAATGCTCTGGTAAGGTTTGTTTATACCTTTTGAAAAAGTAGATAAAAGTGATGAAATTAAAGCTAACAAAAGCCCTAATTTTAACTGATATCACCAGTTAGAAGGTTGCAGAAATCAACTTTTAAAATAAAGGGAGCTTATAGAGTAAACTCCTTGTCAATACTCTGCCATTCTCAGTATCCCATTTATCGCATGGTCACCAGATCTTGGCCCACTGGTAAAACCGGAGTACCACTTGTAAAGTAGTACCTTTATTATTTTCTAAATGCTCGATAATACTTGGTTCAAATAAAAATGACTAAACATTTAGACTATCAATTGATTGTCTACCACATTAATACTTTATGTGCTTTAAAAATATTGAATTATCTTTTAAACAGCATAGTTAAGATTATCTTGCTAGATGAAATTCATAACACAAAGTTGACATGTTGTTAATCTTAACTTAAAACTATTTTGTTTGGAATCTTATCAATATTTTTATTTTTTTTCCTATATTCTAAAAACTATTGTTTTTTTATGAACATTATTTACAAAATTAAAGTAAACAAAATTGTATAAATTTTATGTTTGTAAAATAACATAATTCATAACACAAAATTACATCCATTTTTGATGTATTAGAAAATCCAGATTATTAACTTAATTTCCATCAATCCCTATCCAACACCCTTCATACCAAGTCCAAGTGAGCTATTCTTACTGACTATCGGTAATATACCTCAAACCCATTCCATTTCTTTTTTTGCTGATGACCTCAATGCTCATTTAAATGGCTTATGAATCTCTTAGTTGAATTTGTTTTACCGTTTTTCAGAGATACATGAACAACCCAGTATTATGTTGAGCTAAAGTGACTCTACCCATCTTACAAGTGTCTATATTTTCTTCCGACCTTCCTATAATACTTCGTATTCTCCTCCCTTCTGAATGCTGGTTTAACAAATTTTACTTAATGTGAGCTGCCCTCCTAGAACTCAATTCCGCCATGCTTCAACAGTTTCCTTGTTAAAATTTCTCCTCTTCAACCTCCTTTTCCTTATGCAATCCAATAAATATTATTTTATACTAATTCACCTTCTACTCATTTCAAATGTTTTCCAGAGTTCATTCTGGTGCTATTTTCCACATATCTATTATTTTCCATTATTTTTTTATTTTCTAATCTAGTTTTATTGTTTCAGTTACTGTGTATATTGTATTTCTTTTACACTTTATTTCCATTTAATTGTTTATTTATATTAATGAGTCTAGCTTCTCTGTTTTGGTCATTTTGCATTTCGGTCATTTTAATTTTATTCTTAAGGGACTTTGTCCAATGATAATAAAGAAAACTTTTCATTCAACAAAAAAAATATTTCCTATTTGATGTACTCTAGAAATTTTAAATAAAAATTATAGGTGGTTGAATTATCTACTACTTCAATTTTTTAAAAACTTTCCTAGATAAAATTCATAACACAAAGTTGACATGTTGTCAAAGTTAACTTTAAAATATTTTGTTTGGAATCTTATCAAAATTTAATTTTTTTTTCCTATATTTCAAAAACTATTGTTTTTTTTTATGAACATTATTTACAAAATTAAAGTAAACAAAACTGTCTAAATTTTATGTTTGTAAAATATTTTTCTATAATTAACCATGAAGCAGCTGACAAAGCAGCCAAATTTCTATGAAGTCTCCTAAACTTTATTTATTCCACTTTATGTCTGTTTTCCATCATACTATTAATGGTAGATTTCTGATGAACAAATATTCTATGCACTTCATGTATCCCACAAAATTACATGAAAAGTACATCCATATTTGACATATTAGGAAATCCAGGTTATTAACTTTATTCATCAACCATTAACCATCAATCGCTATCCAGTACCTCTTATACCAATAGGCCAGTAAATTTAGGGAAAAACAGGCTTACCCCAACATTAAATAAAATACGATGTCAGTAATTGCTTATTAACCCCCCCCCCCATAGTAACTTGTAAAAAGTCCCAAAGAATTCCGCGTTAGGTTTTGATTGGAGAGGGAAGAAGGACAAAAAACTAATATTTTTTTAGTTGGGAAAATATGTCAAAAACTAGAAGATTTTTCAGTACATTATTAAAGTAATTTTAAATCTATATAAATGATCCTATAAATTTTTTTGATGAACTCAGTTTATTTACACTATTATTAGCTGAATATTAATTAATAAAATAATTTATATAACTCATGTTAATTATCATAAGTTACAGATTAACCACTTCAAAATTATATCCATTAAAAACTGTTTGCTTACTTCCTAAACCTTTTTTATCTAACAAACAATGCCTGTGTTATGATAATAGTAATTAAACCGAAAGTTTTGTACCAACAGTCCAATAATATAAAAAGAAAAATAAGTTGAAAAATGTATTAAGAAGTTTTACTATTCACAATCAACAATTATCCACACACAAATATTCATTGACTCTATATATTCTTAAAATAAATACATTACTAATAAAAATTATTTTATTTACTAAAATAATATAATCATTAAAGATTAATAAAGCTACGAGACTTACAAATTAATTTACAACTGTATAGATAAAAAACTATTCAATTTAAATTAAAAATAACCTATAACTACAATTATACAATGCTAAGTATAAATTTATAATGTAGGTAAAATTTATTAATTAATATTTAACACTTATTTAACTTGAATTTAATTGGTATTTATTATTTTACTATAACTATCTTTATTTCTTGCCACTGTTGCCCAGCCATCACCCACTCTCTGCACTATTTCATCTCCCCTTCTTGTGAAAGGTCTTCCTCTTCATCTCTTGTGATTCCTTGGAATCCGTAGCAATTTTCGACCACCTTCTAGTTACCATTCTGGCAACAATGTCCAGCCCCCATCTCCATTTTAATAAACATGTTTCTTTCGACAGGCTTTTAAGGTCTACTTGACTTTGAACTCTTCTGTTGCTGATCCTTCCTTTTAATTCCTTCATGCTTCGGGAAAATTGAAATTGTCTGCTATTGAGCTTGTCCTAGTTTTTTATGGATGTAAACCATGTCTGACTTCCATAACAAGTACTGGCTAAACATACTTTTCCAATACTTTAGCCTTGATAGCTGAAGATATTTGGTTTTTGAATATGTTTTTGAGGCTCAAGAAGTTTTTCCACCCCAAGTTAATCATTTTATGTATTTCTTCTAATCTATTTTTTATTGATTTGGTCTGTCCTTGGTAAACATACTGCTCCACAAAGCCAATTTCTTTATTTCTTATTTTCAACTCTCCTTTTTGGGGATGGTCAACTTAGTTTTTCCGCATTGATATGTAGGCCCACCAATTCACATTGTATTAGGAGCTTATTGACCATTTCATTAATTTCCATAATTGAGTTGGCGAAAATAATAATGTCATCAGTGAAGCTCAGATTTGACAGCTTAAACCCATTTATTGAGATACCTCTCTCATCCCAGTTCAGCTTCTTAAACATATAATATACAATGCATGAAAATTGTCGGATCTCAGTTTTCAAAGGAAATACACACAGTCCAAATAACGGAGTCCCGCAAAATGGTCTGTGTGTGTGTTGACAATCTAACTGAAAAATGAAAAGTCGTACAAAAGTGAAATTGCATATTTAACGTTTTTATAAGCTAGGGATGTTACAACTTTTTCGTCAAAATGGGCTAATCGGAAGTGGCACTTTATATAATGGACTAAACACATTCTTACGATTTTCTTTAAAACAGCTCTAACGATTTTGATTAAATTCATCATATCAGCGTAAAATTAAGCAGTTTTAAATAAAATTTAGTTTTTATTCTGATTGATGTTCTCTAACAGGGCTTAAATGGCTGATTCAAAATTAGCTTCCCCTAAAGTACCTTTATTTTTTTTCTATTTGAAACAATTGATAATTTCACATTAATCTCTAATATTGAAGATAGTTAAATATAAAATATGAATTTGATGATTGCACCCGAGCTCGTTCGAAAGATTAGAACACGTTTCCGTACGTAACACAAGGTTAATATAATAAGGACTCCAACAATATTATGTAAATATACGTATGTGGTTTTCATAAATACTATTGTTGGTATTATTTAATATTTAATTGTATAGATTGCAGCGATATAAATATTAAAATTTGTATATATAAGGGTACTTATACAAACAAAAATACCCACAATGATATATAAATAAATATAGCGTCTATGATTTTTACTTTCACTTCCTCTTTGTCTGAAATAATTATTTTTGCTAAGTGGGTGTTAAGTTAATGGGTGTTAATTCTTGGCTTTTGTTCCTGAATATTTAAGGATTTCAGGAAATATTTTACCAGTCCACGGGGACGTTCCTCCTGAGAGATTCTGTGTAGCAGCTTCCATTTCTACCAACGTAAATGGCTTGTTATAAATTCTCGATTGCTCCTCAGTCAAGCAGGTTGATGGAAGTTTTTTTTAGTTCTTGAAATTGCTTATAGTGCAATAGTGCTTACAAAAATGTCGAGTTATGCCTTTCTCATTTGTCAGTAGCTTAGATTCTGTCTGGATTGGGCTGTTTAAGTGTATTGTATTATTGTTT